AGTAATGAATATACCCTTTTTGGGGTTGGTTGCTTTGTAAGGAACCCATAACCCAAAAAGGGCAAAAGGGCGCCACTGGGCTACCAAGATTAACAGCTACCCTTAAACCTTAAATGCTTAGGGACAGCTATACGACAATTACCGACGCCTCCAGATTCTTGCGCAACCCACACCGGCCTTCCCACATACCACAAGCCAACCTGCCCCCCCCCCCCGGCTTTCTGTGACCCATTCGGGTTTAGGGTTTAGGGTTTAGGGTTTAGGGTTTAGGGTTTAGGGTAAAGGGTAAAGGGTAAAGGGTAAAGGGTAAAGGGTAAAGGTTTAGGTTTGGGGTTTAGAGTGCAGGGGCTTCATGCTCCCTGCCCCCCCCCTCTGACGCATCGGAAGGGCTGAATGGTCATGAACGTCGCGATGACGGCAAAGCCTGCCTGCCCAAAGCACCACTGTCCGATGTCCGGGTACGACCTTGGCGCATGACTCAGACACCCTGGGTTTAGGGTTTAGGGTTTAGGGTTTAGGGTTTAGGGTTTAGGGTTTAGGGTTTAGGGTTGCATCCTCTGGAAGCCCTGCATCCGCATCTACATCGGCCTATAAGGCCCTGTGAGAACCCTGAGGATCCCGAAGAACCCCAAGCAGCCCTAAACCCTAAACCCTAAACCCTAAACCCTATACAAGAGGCCCTAAAGACGCCTAAGCCACCTGGGCCAGCAAATAGTCGCGAAAGCCATTCCCCGACGTTTTTCCTTATCGTTATACAACGAACCCGACATTTCGGGGCCTCCCCTGCTTAACGTTCCGCAGCGGCTCTGTTTTGCCAAGCCCGCAACCCTAAACACTAAACCAGAAGCCTAAAAACCCTCAGCCGAAGGAACATCGGGAACTAGTGTGCCTCCCGAATTCCCTACTAAACCCTAAACCCTAAACCCTAAACCCTAAACCCTAAGCCCTAAACCCTAAACCCTAACCGGAGGTTCGTAGGGTCCTGGCACCTTCACCTTCGCCAGCTGGCATGAGCGGTAGAGCAGGTGCAGCGTGTATCCTGTGACTTGGGGCTTCCGTACACCCTGAACCCTACACCCTAAACCCCAAACCCTAAACCCTAAACCCTGAACCCGTTTAGGGTGTAGGGCTGAGGGTTTAGGGGCCATACTCCCCGTTGCAGCCAGAGAAAACGAGCCTGCTTTAAACTTTCCCCTCGGTATCTACGTGAAGTAGACCAAGACTAAACTCTAAACCCGACTTAAGAGCTTACAGATTCCCAGAACTAAGCCAAAGAATATAAGCAATTGCAGCTCCTTAGTTGCTGAGTTCATGAGCCCCCAAAAAAAGTACACTTGCAGTTCTATAGGGGATTCTCGTAACCCAAAAAGGCGTAAAGTGTACTCCTTCAGCTACTAAGGCTTAAAGAATACCAAAGAGCTTCCTAAACCCTAAACCATAAACCCTGCACCCTAAACCCTAAACCCTTAAAGAATACCAAGGAGACGATGGCAAGTGGCTGTTCAAGAAGTTGGATAAGGCATACAAGGACAGGCCAAGCACCAGTCCCACCTGGGGGGTCTTCGGGAAAAGAGTGGAGGCTTTAGGGTTTAAGGTTCGGGTTTAGGGTTTAGGGTTTAGGGTTTAGGGTTTAGGGTTTAGGGTTTAGGGTTTAGGGTTCAGGGTTTTAGGGTTTAGGGTTTAGGGTTTAGGGTTTAGGGTTTAGGGTTTAGGGTTTAGGGTTTAGGGTTTAGGGTTTAGGGTTTAGGGTTTAGGGTTTAGTGGTGGGTATATAGGAGGGGTTCGTGAACTGGTTTCCCACCCACCCCCCCCCCACCCCCCCCCCCAAGTCTGGAGCTGTGAAGCTTAAGTGGTAAGGGTTTGGGGTACGTTGAGCCGCTCTGATTATCAAGCCCTAATTTAACCCTAAAGCCGCAAACCTACATCAAAAACCCTAAGCCTTGAGCCCCAAACTCTAAAACCCCAAACCCTAAGAGCCCAAACCCTAAGAGCCCAAACCTGTATAGCCTAAACCCTAAAAACCCAGAAAATCCCAAACCCTAAAGCCCTGTACTCCTAGGGTCGTTGCATGGTCCCTTTAACATGGGCCCTTAAACGGAATACGGTTCCTTATGCACCCCCTTTTATCCGCATTTGCCTCGACCTGCTCAGGCGGAAGGTGCAGAGCAGCTAAGGTCATGTGCGGTCTTCCATCTTTGTTGTTTTGGGCGGCGTTTCGCCCGTCTTTCGGTTGATCCCGTTCTCCGTGAACGGCATCTTCCGGGTTCTACATTTCCCCCATACGGTTCCTTATGCACCCCCGTTTACCCAAGAGCAACCCAAGACCCCATGCCCATACTTCAGAACCATTGAAGACCGTAAGGACCATTTTCAGGGATCATGCAACTACCTCAAACCCGAGAGTCCCCCGCCCCCCCTCCCCCCGTCCCCCCCTCCCCCCCCCCCAAGTCGCCTCGAAGCTGTACTTGAGGGTTTAGGGTTTAGGGTGCGGGGTTTAGGGTGGAAAAAACCCTGTTTTGGGTACCTTTGAACCTGTAGATGGCCTCTCGGGGGCGGGCTCTGCTATGCTAGCAGCGAAGACCATGAAAAGACCCGTCTTGGGAGGCTCCATCTCCTCCCCACCTCCGAGCACACCCAGCCGACTGCCAGCAGCGACACGCCCAAGGCATTGTTGAGCATGTTGAAAATCCTTGGGTCTATGGGTTCTTGGACTCTTAAGGTTCTACCCTTGGGTTTTGGGGGCCCCTGCTTAAGGGTCCCTAAGAGCATATAGGGGCCATATTCGGAGTACATTAAGGGGAACCTTTAGGGGTACAGCCTTAGGGGTACGAGTCTTCATCCCTTAAGGCCCTCAGCCCTGAGCCCTAGACACGTTTTAACATGTGCTGTAGGGGGCATGATCACCCCAAACACAAAGCAGTCAGTCTGCGGCGTTGGAGACGTAACCTTCAGTGAAACTTCAGCCTTCAAGGTGCTGTTTAGGGTTTAGGGCTTAGGATGGGTTTAGGGTTTAGGGTTTAGGGTTTAGGGTTGAGGGTTGAGGGTTGAGGGTTGAGGGTTGAGGGTTGAGGGTTGAGGGTTGAGGGTTTAGGGTTTAGGGTTTAGGGTTTAGGGTTTAGGGTTTAGGGTTTAGGGTTTAGGGTTTAGGGTTTAGGGTTTAGGGTTTAGGGTTTAGGGTTTAGGGTTTAGGGTTTAGGGTTTAGGGTTTAGGGTTTAGGGTTTAGGTTTTCGGGTTTAGGGTTTAGGGTTTAGGGTTTAGGGTTTAGGGTTTAGGGTTTAGGGTTTAGGGTTTAGGGTTTAGGGTTTAGGGTTTAGGGTTTAGGGTTTAGGGTTTAGTTTAGGGTTTAGGGTGCTTGGGGTCTAGCAGGATGTTTACACTGCGGGCCTGGCCGCAAGAATGGATGCAAGGCTGGCCCTAAAACCCAATAAAAGTACTCAAGTTCCTCGATGGCTTAAGTATGGGGCGTATAGGGATTCGGGCCCGTAGAACTAAAGAATGTGTTCCAAATCCCTGAACCCTACACCCTGAAGCCTCAGCCCGGACCAGAGTCTTTTTCCTTTTTTAAGGTTTAGGGTTTAGGGTGAGGAGTTCTTGGCAGCCCGTAAAACCTACTGTAACAAGGGTGGCAAGCCACTGTCTTGCTTGTCCAGTATTGTAGGGGAAGTAAAGTTTAACCTCTGGGATGACAAGAGGGATGACAGCACCCCAACGAAGTTAAAGCAACTAAGCTGTACTACCACCCATCCATGTTCCAAATCCCCTAAACCCTAAACCCTAAACCCCAAACCCCCCCCAACTCCTACGTCCAGGACCCAGAAACTGTGGCCGTGACGACTGAGAAGTCAGGTGGCGCTTCGGTATTGGACTGCAGCGCCGCCTTGTTGTTCTGCTCATCAAGCCTCAACATAAGAGACGGTCAAGGCAGAAGCACCCCCCTAAACCCTAACCCGGAGCCCAAAAACCCTACCTAAACCCTAAACCCTAAACCCTAAACCCTGAACCCCACATGGTGGCATGTCAGAGGCCCCGACTCCACAGGGAACTCCACAAAGGAGCTGACTTCCGGGCGCGAGGTGGGCGTGGAGGGCTCCTCGATGCTAAGGGCTCTGCCTCAGGCCACGGGACCGGGCTGGTCTTGGAGGTTAGGGTTTAGGGTTTAGGGTTTAGGTTTAGGGTTTAGGTTTTAGGGTTTAGGGTTTAGGGTTTAGGGTTTATTAGGGTTTCTAAGGGTTTAGGGTTTAGGGTTCGAATCCCGGAATTGGTGGTTTACATAGGGGAGTGTGCCGTACCTGCTTTTCCGTGTAAAGTACGAAAAGCTTTCCTTAAAACAGGCCAACCCTAAACCCTAAACCCTAAACCCTAAACCCTAAACCCAAAGCAGCCGAGGAGCCTTGAGTCGCAAATGGTGGGTCTTCCTCCATCGGCCCTCTGCTCAGAGTTTGGCAGTGGCCCTTGCCGCTTGCTTGGCATTGAAGCTGCTGCAGAGCCAAATGGCTACAGGGCAGCCTAAGCCCTAAGCCCTATGCCCTAAACCCTAAGGGTTTGGGGTTTAGGGTTTAGCGTTTAGGGTTTAGGGTGTAGGCAACGGTTTAGGGTTTAGGGTTTAGGGTTTAGGGCTTAGGGCTTAGGGCTTAGGGCTTAGGGTTTTAAGCCCTAAGCCCTAAGCCCTAAACCCGAAACCCTGGGTTTTTGCTTGTAGGCCCTTATATATGCAATCTGAGGTTCCCGGGGCAGCCTCACAGGATTCACGCGCAGCACGATCTGGGAGGCGACTAAATCAGAACTAAGCCTTCGAAAGCATATGATGTTTTGTGATATAGACCTTTACTCATATAGTGATATGACATAGAATACTATAACACTAAAAACGATATTATCATCATCTTGGCAACTAGAAAATATTCATGCCTAACCTCCCCCCGAACCCCAAACCCCAAACCTCACCCCAAACCGTAAACCCAGGCCCTAAACCCCAAACCCTGAACCCTAAACTGTAGGCCTGTAGGGAGCTCACCTCGCTGGCTTTCTCAGTGTCAGAGGGCCGCGACGCCAGTTCCGTCTCCACAGCCGCGAGGAAGGCGTCGCGCCTGGGGGGGGAGGGGGGGGAGGGGGGGGGGGAGGGGTAGGGCCGGGGGGGGGTTTGGGGGGGTTTGGGTGTGTTTTGGGGGGGGGCACGTTCGTACGCCTCTTCAGAGCGTCCAGACGCTGCTCGGCGGCGGCCGTCGACATCTCCTCCTTGAGGATCTTCTCCTCTGCCGCCTTTGACTTCGGTGACTTCACCTTCGTTGTTCGCCACATCTCTGTCAGAGTAGGGGCCCAGTAAAGAAAATATGGATCCCATTATTGGGGTATAAGGGCCCCTATAAGGGGGGATACTCCTGGAGAGAACCGTTTCCTCCCGGATCACTGTGCCCATATGCCAAGCAAGGTTTAAGGGCCTCGAAAAACATCAACAAAAGCCCTTAAAAGCATGAGCAATCACAGGCACCATGTAGAAGGGGCTTCCAAATTACATAAACCCACCGCCCACAATCCCTAATGGCGCCAAGGCCATAGCCAAGACGCCGCGGCTGTGATGAGTCTCCGATACCGTAGGGCAGCCTCCAGATCCGTCATCCAGGGCGACATGATCCTTCTTTTGTCTTTGCCTTGGCGAGCTTTCAGGAGCCGGGGGGCCTTCGTGTAGGGTCTTGTAGCAAACGGTGCCTCAGGCTGGTGGGTAGTGGTGTGAGTGTTGACGCTCTAATGGCGGCAGCCCTAAACCCAGAAAGCTGGGGACCGGGGACTTGAGGCAGGACAAGGCCGCAGGCCCTTGTACTGATCACCCTCATGCAGCCCTCAACGCGTACAGAACCCTATACGGAGCCTAAAGTAGAACTGGGCTTCCCGCCGCGAAGGTCCGAAGAGAATTGGTAAGCCCAGGGAGCTTCCTCCATAAGCAGCTGCAGCTCGCTGTGGAGGAGCGGGGGCTCTTCTTCAGCAGACTTGACCTTGCATGGCCCACAAAGCCTTCTGAAAAATGTTCCTACATGTAGTCCTCTTAAGCCCAATGAGAGAAAAGCAAATGTCCCAAGGGCCTACCGAGTGACGCTGCTGCCGTATGCCTTCGCCACGTAGTCGTTGTAGCGGGCCTGTGCCGCCAGGCGCGTGCCGGCGCAGGCCACATGGATGGCGAGCGCAAGCTCGAGGTTGGGGATGTGGGTTGCCTTGAGCCTGAAGTTTCGCCAGCCCACATCGACCCCATAGTCAGCACCCTGTCGAAACAGGCCCGTGGTCTCCGCCACCTTCTCCTGCTCTGCAATCCCAGGATCCTTGCTCGCCATGGACAGGAGCCGCCTCTGGAACTCTTGCAGGTACTCGGCCGTGTGCCCCCGCAGGTCCCAGTTGTTGCCCAGGAGCCTCTGGGCCAGCAGGAAGCTGATCGTTGAGTTCATGTCACGCACATCCTGGCCGTTCCTGGCCTCTGGCAATCCGGCTGCGGCCTCGGCGGCCGCAGCCAAAAGAGCCGAGAAAGCGTCGTGCACACGGCAGAAGCGTTCCTCGCTCCCGCCCTTGTCGGGGTGCGTCCTGACGAGAGGATCTACATGGAGGCTTCCTAAAATGGGGGACCCCTAATATAGACCCCAATTAGTAAGATTCGCTTTATAGTAAGGCCCGCAATAAGGTACCCCCAAATTTTGGAAACCCCCCAAAAAAACCCAAGAGCCGCTAGAATCCACTATCAAGCAGATGGGTACGGGCGGGCTTCTTTGCATCCTCAGCTGAGGTGCAGCAATGCCATCTTCTTGTAGGCGGCAGAGATGTCCTCCATCCTCGCTGGGTACTCCAAGCCCAGCACCCTGCAATGGCCTTACCAAGTAGGAGGGTTTAGGGTTTAGGGTTTAGGGTTTAGGGTTTAGGGTTTAGGGTTTAGGGCTGCAACATTGGCAGCGAAGGGAACCACCGGAGACGGCGGTCTGCAAGGAGTGCACGAAAACTCACCGCGAAGGCGGCACGCCGTATCGCTGTCGTCGGTGTCGGAGGTGGCAAGGTCTCGAGGCTTTCCCCGGCAAAAGTGAGCATGTGTTTTCTCTGCAAGGTGCAGGCTGCGAATACTTGAAGGTTGGCTACTTTTTGTGCGGGAACCCAGAACCCCAAAAAAGGGCAACAAAAAGGCACCACGAGGCGACCAAGTGGGTCAGGTGAGCGAGCCCTAGACAGAAACCCTATAAGCCATCTAAACCCCTAAACACTCTTTAAGCGCAGTAAACATTACAAACCCTGTAGGAACCCTATAAACCCCATATACTCTTAGACCCTATAAACCCCATAAAACCTTCAACAAACCCTACACACCCTACAAACCCCATAGCCCCCAAACCCCGAACCCCAAGCCCTAGAACCTAAACCCTACACCCTATGAACCCAAAACCCTACAAACCCTCAACCCTCAACCCTAACTAAACCCCAAACCCTACACCCTAAACCCTAAGGGTTTAGGGTTTCGGGTTTAGGGTTTAGGGTTCCCACAAACCCTATTTGGGACAAGAGACTCCGGAGATGCTCCGTGGCCTCTGCCTCGGGCCTCGCAGGCGGGGAGTCCGCTGGCTTGAGCTGCGCAAGCCTGGCGGCGGCAGGCTCTGAACAACTCCACGCCATTCTGGGGTTTAGGGTTTAGGGTTTAGGGTTTGAGGTTTAGGGTTTAGGGTTTAGGGTTTAGGGTTTAGGGTTGGAGTTTAGGGTTTTGGGTTTAGGGTCTATAGGGTCTAGGGTCTAGGGCTTAGGATGCACTGGCTCGGATCCTAAAGCCGAGTTCGCAAACCAGCGGTAGCCGCGACAGATCTTCCGAATAAAGCCGCAAGACCGTGCAAGCATCAACAAGGTTTAGGGGTTTAGGGGTTTAGGGGTTTGGGGGTTTAGGGGTTTAGGGGCTTAGGGGCGTAGGGGTTTAGGGATTTAGGTTCCCGGGGTTCAGGGTATGGGTACCGCCGGACCATGCGTCTAAAGAAAGAGAATCTAACGTCATGCCTCATTGACCTGCCAAGCCTTCAAAGCCAAAACCCGCCTGAACTTGGGAGGAGATGTTTACATAAGGGCCCGTCCCTCAACCCCTCCTAGCCATAAACACCGCAGCGTTGTCCCTAAACCCCAAACCCTACACTATAAAACCCTCAACCCCGTAAACCCTAAACCCGAAACCCAAAAGCCGCTGTTCTAAGTTCTGGCCTGCCAGCGCCAAAGAAGGAGTCCAAGCTTCTCTGTGCCTCCACGAAAGGCCGGTTTCGGGCTTCAGGCTCAGGCTTTTGTAACGAAGGCTCGAACGCACAACCGACTCGAAGATACCATGCTCTCTCAGCGGGGCTCGCTTGCGCCTGCGTGACGCCTCTCCAGTCTTGACGCAGAGAGAGAGAAAGAGAGAGAGAGAGAGAGCGCCACGGCGTGGAAAGTGCACTGAAACCCAAACCACGCAGTACGCACTCAAACACATGCCATAAAGATCAAGCTATCCCTGCGCCCTAGATTGGCCATGATGGGCAAGGGCGGGGTCCGTAGTTGCAGAGCATGGCATGCCTCGGGAGGGTCAGCACTGCTTCGCCCCTTCCCACACACGGCCGCCGCTGGCTTCACGGGCGCCGCCGGCTTCACACGCGCCGCCGGCTTCGCAGCCGCCGCTGGCTTCGCGGGCGCCGTTGGGGCCGCTGGGGCCGCTGGCCGTGCAGCCTGCGCTCCGTAATTCTCAGGGCTCAGGGTATCTTGTGCGCAAATTATGCATAAATATATACATATGTATATATATATATATATGTACATATATAATATTTATAACATTATATCATATTCTATTATACTATATTTATATTCTATTATCTTATTTTATATATACGCAGAGGTATATGTGAGGTTGGTATATTGGATACAAAAAGAGCCTCCGGCTGGCGCGGATTCGCAGCCTGCACCTTGCAGAGAAAACCCATGCTCACTTTCACTCCACATCAAGGTACACGGTTTTTCGCGGTATATGGTGACACAGCAGAGCTTTGCCTCCCGGATGATGCTGTCCAGGTAGTGGCCGTGGACCCCCTTTGTGTTCGTTTTGTAGGGGCAGGCAGCGATCTTCTCGCCGACTTCGGCGGTGGGGGCGCGCTCCGCCAGAGCCGCTCGCGCAGTCTGGAAGGCCAGACAGCCACCGGGAACGTTGATGGCCTGAAAATTGATATTGATCTTGAGGTGAACCATGTATTTTTGGGGTCGAAATGGATACTGTGCTGTTCCCTTATGGTCTCTTATGATGATACCATAATCACTCCCCCCCCCCCAAACCAATTCTATCTTAAAGCCCCTACAACCCTGGCCCTAAACCCTAAACCCTAAACCCTAAGCCTATTCCAGTGCTTAAGGCCCTTCTGCATGAGTCCCTTGCCGGCGAGCGTCGCTGTCTGCCAACTTCATCAGATCCCGCTCGAAGTCGGACGAAGCTCCGGCCAGCTCCTCTGCTGTGTAGAGCCCTCGCTCCTCGGCTCGGCTTGGGGTTTAGGGTTTAGGGTTTAGGATTTAGGGTTTAGGGTTTAGGGTTTAGGGTTAGGGTTTAACTCCTGTGCACTTCTGGACCTTCAAACACATGCTGCCCGCGCCGAAACCAAGCAGTGTCTGGCATGCTGGAAAAATCTCAAGATGGCATCGTATCGCACGCGGAGTAGAGTGAACTTAGTAGCCCAGGAGCCATATTAGAATACGTGTGCCCTTTCCGTTGTTGGCTACTTTATAAGGGGAACCTCGAACCGAAAAAGGCCCCACGCAGGGCACGACCCGAAACCCAAGCACCTGCTGAATTTGTAGCTTCCGCTTCTGCAGCCAAGGTTCTCTGCGAACCTTTTTCTCCTTCTTATCCTTTTCATCCTTTTTGGGTGGCGGCTGCGGCATTGCTGAAGATGTTCACGCCTGTCGTGTCAAGCTGCGCACAGGGGATGCGAGAGTACGAGTGTCAGAATGCCGAATACAAGATTGACCTCGCACCACCCTACCTAAACCCTAAACCCTAAACCCTAAACCCTAGTACTGCATATCCAGGCAGGGAAGAAGCACAACTTGTCCGTATCCCGGCCTCAGACCCCAGAGCGGACCAAATTACGAATTGCAGGTGCTAATTGGCATGGTGCGCGTCTCCCATCGCGGCCAAGATGCAGGGGTGGGATGTTGGGCTTGGGCAGGTCTCAGGGTTTGGAGCTTCATTTTGGTTGGGTTTGGTAGGGTTTGGCTGGGGTCTTGGGGCTTCAAGTGCGTTTAATGTTTGAATAGGGGTAGGGTTAGACATGGTTTGTGTCTGGTTTGCTGTTTGTCCGTTCCTTCTCACGCCTATCGCGACTAACTCGTGATCCTTGAGTGAAGCCGGCCAATACACTGCCAGAATCAAGGCGGAAGAGTGCGCGACAGCCAGAAAAGCTCATGATCTCATGAAAGGTGTTGGCTGCAGACACTCCGCATACCCTAAACCCTAATGGCCTAAACCCTAAACCCTAAACCCTAAACCCTAAACCCTAAACCCTAAACCCTAACCCTAAACCCTAAACCCTAAACCCTAAACCACCCAACATCCTCTCTCAGTCTGCTCCTCCAGCAGTAAAGGCACACAGGATGCCGCCGCTTCGAAGAGGGGCCGCGCGCCTGAGGCCACAAAAGGCCCTTTTGGGGGTTTAGGGTTTAGGGTTTAGGGTTTAGGGTTTAGGGTTTAGGGTTTAGGGTTTAGGGTTTAGGGTTTAGGGTTTAGGGTTTAGGGTTTAGGGTTTAGGGTTTAGGGTTTAGGGTTTAGGGTTTAGGGTTTAGGGTATCGCTAGAATGGGCCCTTAAGCATATTCCCCCTACATAATCCCTATATATACCTTCTATAGTCCCTATGTAACCTAAGTAGCCCCCCAAATAGACCCTGAGGTCCCTTATAAGGGTCTTTAGTCCCAAAAGGCCCTGTTGAAACCCCGTGGAGCCCCTGGGATGTAGAGAAGAACCCCAAACCCTAAACTATGAACCCTATGAACCCGATAAACCCTCTAAACCCTATATAAACCCTATGAACCCTATAAACAAGCCCTAGGAGCTCTATAAACCCTCTAAACTCTATAAACCCTACGTATTTTTAACCCTGTAAACCCTTTTTGCACAAAAGAAAACAAACCCTGTAAAACCTACAAACCCTCTAAACCCTTTAAACCCTTAACCGGTAAACCCTAGAAACTCTATAAACCCTATAAGCCCTGCAAACCCTGTAAACCCTGTAAAACCTGTAAACCCTGTAAACTGTGTAAACCCTGTAAACCCTACACTCTCTATAAGCCCCTATAAACCCATAAACCCATTTAACCCCTATAAACCCGCTAAACCCGATAAACCCTGTAAACATTTTAGACCGATTAACACCCTGTAAACCCTATAAACCCTATAAACCCTATAAACCCTATAAACCCTATAAACCCTATAAACCCTATAAACCCTGTAAACCCTATAAGCCCTATAAACCCTGCAACAAGCCCTAAACCGCGTGGCTTGCTGAGGGAGGTACAGCTGCATGCATCCGGGTTCAGGGTGCTCAGCTTGGCGTAAGACCTCGGCAAAAACCCCTAAACCCCTAAGCCCCTAAACCCTAAACCCCTAAACCCTAAACCCTAAACCCCAAACCCTAAACCCTAAACCCCGAACCCTAAACCCGAAACCCTAAACCCGCAACCGGGCACCTCTACCACCATTCCAGGATGGGCTCCTGGGCCTGGGAATCAAAGGGCCTTTTTTATATCGGTTAGAGTTTTTGGGGTCTCAGAGTCCATCCGGGCTTAGGGTTTAGGGTTTAGGGCGTAGGGTTTAGGGTTTAGGGTTTAGGGTTAGTTTGGGGTTTAGGGTTTGGGGTTTGGGGTTTGGGGTTTGGGGTTTAGGGTTTAGGGTTTAGGACCGTTTCTCTAAAGGGCGCGGCAAGCTCTGAGTTCCCAGCCAAAGGATTGTCGACAGCTCGAAGGGCTTGAAGTTCCTAACCTGCCAAGCCCTAAACCCTAAATCCTAAACCCTAAACCCCAAGTTTTTAACCCTAAACCCTAAACCCTTAACCCTAAGCCCTAAACCCTAAACCCTAAACTGTAAACCCTCCACAGCTCCCCGTTGCCACTTCGATGCAGCTTTAGTCCATGCAGTCCCGGCCTGGCCCTGGGCAGGTATCGCAATGGCCTGCCACATTGGGCTGTGGGGCGTGGAGGTTTAGGGGTTCAGGGGTTTTAGGGGTTTTAGGGGTTTAGGGGTTTTAGGGGTTTAGGGGGTTTTAGGGGTTTAGGGGTTTTAGAGGATTTAGGGGTTTTGGGATTTTAGGGGTTTAGGGGGTTTTAGGGGTTTTAGGGGATTTAGGGGTTTAGGGGTTTAGTGGAGGGCTTTGGGTGCAAGGGGTCAGGAATGCCATTTGGAGCCCTCCCCTGCCTCTCAAACCCATCCCCTAAGCAACTTATGGCCAGTGTATGAGAAGTAAGGGTTTAGGGTTTAGGGTTTAGGGTTTAGGGTCTAGGGCTTAGGGTTTAGGGTTTAGGGTTTGGGGTTTACATTTTCGTACTCTGCTCTCGGATGTACACCTAGAGCAGTACGTGAACAGCACTGAACGACACAGCTGGGAGCGGACACTCGCAGCAGGACTCTCTTTTGCTGGCGTCGGTTGCCGCCGGGAGCACCAGATGTCCGTCGGACGCGCCAAGCACGCTGCCCGCCCTAAACCCGAAACCCTAAACACCCTAACCCTAAACCCTGAGCCCCAAACCCCAAACCCAAAACCCCAAACCCTGAACCCTAAACACCCTACACCCTAAACCCTGAACCCCAAACCCTAAACCCTAAACCCCAAACCCTAAACCCCAAACCCTAAACCCTAAACTCTAAACCCACGATGTCCAGAGAGCTAGACGAACACTTCAGACCCGGACTCGCCAAGGCAAAGGCATTTCCCGATGAACCTTGGCCACAGGTTTAGGGTTTAGGGTTTAGGGTTTAGGGTTTAGGGTTTAGGGTTTAGGGTTTAGGGTTTAGGGTTAGGGTTTAGGGTTTAGGGTTTAGGGTTTAGGGTTTAGGGTGTTTAGGGTGTTTAGGGGGTTTAGGGTTTAGGGTACTATCGGAATCTAAACCCTAAACCCTGAACCCTGCCATGCCAGGCAGCCGTTGTGGCACAACGAAGACGCAGCGAGGAGCGGGCTTTCCGGTCAGGACTGCCTCATATGGCAAGACAGTTCAGGGCTTGGTTTAGGGCTTAAGGTTTCGGGTTTCGGATTTAGGGGGCTTAAACCCTAACCTCGAAACCTCAAAGCTCTGGTGAAAGTCCTGAGCTTAAACCCCCAAAATACTGGGCAGCCGAAGCCCCGAAGCCCGCCCACCCCCTAAGCCCTAAGCGATGAGCCCGAAACCCTAAACCCTAAACCCTAAACCCCAAACCCCAAACCCCAAACCCCAAACCCCACCCCCCCCCCTCCATCCACCAAACTCCCCCTCCATCCAGCGCGCACCTTCAGCTCATGGTAGGCATGGCAGGTGAAGTCGGCAGGCTGAGCCTGGGCTGTTCTTGAGGTTCAGGGTTCAGGGTTTAGCGTTTTATGTCAGGCCCTAAACCCTAAACTCTAGCCCTAAACCCTAAACCCTAAACCCTCAACCTTCAACCCTAAACCCGAAACCCCACTGCAGGCCCGGAGCTTGCTTGGCCGTCTCCACGTTGGTTGCGACCTGGGAGCGCAAGGAGCACTTGGAGGCGTATTTAGGGTTTATAGGGCTTCGGGTTTAGGGCTTAGGGTTTAGGGGTTTAGGGGTTTAGGGTTTCGGGTTTGGGTTCTTGGGTTTAGGGTTCAGGCTTCAGGGTTTAGGGTCTGTCGGAAGGGTACTTAAAACTTAATTAAGTTCCCGATGGAAACTGTAACAACCACCATAGACCACCCTAGATGCCCAAAAATCGGGTTCTTGATGCCCTGAACCCTAAACCCAGACCCTGGACGCATCGTGGTTTTAGTGCTGGGGGAAGAGCCATGTCACCGCCGACTCCTAAACCCTAAACCCTGAACCCTAAACCCTAAACCCTAAAACCCCTTCCACCCTCATAACCCGGAACGAATGCATGGTATCGGGAATTTGGCGATTCCGTCTAGGGCCTAGGGTCTGTAGACAGAGAAGGTTTAGGGCTTAGGGTTTGTGATATTCTCCAAGGGGCTGAGATCACAAAGTCGAAGCCCGGTACGTAGGTCGTCTGCGACTGGTACCCGTACGTGTCCCCCACGTGGCCATAGGCGTCCTCACCGATGCTCCAGTCCAGGTTGAAGGTACCCATGCCGTAGAACTTGAAGCTGCCTTTCTTGGGGGCTTTTGGGGGGTTCTTAGGGGTTCTAGGGGTTTGGTTTTGGGGGCTTTTCTGGGCTGTTGCGGGGCTTTTGGGGTTTTGGGCTTTTTTGGGATTTGGGGGTTGAGGGTTCTTGGGCACAGTCGTAGCAAAGGCCCAAAACCTCAAAACTCTAAATCTCGCAAATGCCAGTCCCCCAACGCCCAAACCCCCAACCCACAAACCCCAAACCCCAAACCCCAAAACCCTAAACCCCAAACCCCAAACCCTAAACCTTAAACCCCAAAACCCCCCAAACCCTAACTCAGCAGCGCCGCTCATGCCCGGGGCCGTGAAGTTGGTCAGATGCGCCTGCGACTCTGCGGAGACGATCTTGGGATCCTTCAGGTTGTAGAGCTCGTAGGTGAAACCTGGGGTGGGTTAAGGGTTTAGGGTTTACGTAGGGTTTAGGGTTTAGGGTTTAGGGTTTAGGGTTTAGGGTTTAGGGTTTAGGGTTTAGGGTTTAGGGTTTAGGGTTTAGGGTTTAGGGTTTAGGGCACGGCTATGTAGGAATGCAGGCCCATGGACCTTAAACAAAACCTGCGCCAAACAAACCCCGAAATTCGCGCAGTGTCGGCCACGGACCCCACGTAGTTCCCCGCCGTCCATCCGCCGAGGCAGCTGACGTTCCACACATCCTGGAGGGTTTAGGGTTTAGGGTTTAGGGTTTAGGGTTTAGGGTTTAGGGTTTAGGATGTTCCCCCTTATGCTAGCAGTCCTTAATAAGGATTATGATAGGGGGTACGATAATCCCATTTAAGGACTGTTATAATTATGAAGGTGTGTTTATATTTCCTGTACCCCCAAAAGGACACCAAATATAGACACTTCCCAAAATGAAAGAGGAACCTTATATACATGTACCAATAACAGTAATATATACTGATATGAGGGAGCCTCATGAGCCTTGTTGCTGAGCTCATAAGCCCCAACAAAGTGTACACTTTCAGTTCTTTTGGGGATTAGCGTATCCCACGAAGTGTAAAGTGCACTGATTCAGCTGCAAGTTAGGGGGTTCTGGGTCTGCTCCGGGCATTTGTCAACATTTCTTAAGGAGGCTCAAGATCGAAAAGGGGGGGAAGGGGGGTAATCTTCGATGCAACAATCTTCCACGCTCTCACATTTTTCTGGGAATATCCTCAATCTTTCGTTTTGAGTAGCCACAAAAGCTTAGAATAGCAAGTAGGGTAGGTTTCGGGAAGGTGGGGGTCGGGGTATCTTATACATTATGCGATCAGCAGGGGCTGTATAGTGTGGACTTGCATCGGTCACGGCGGCGGCAGCAGCAGGAGGAGTCGTCGTGGTGCCGGAATTATTATGAATGGTGTGTGAGTGTAAGGGGCAATGAACGTAGCGAAGCGCGCCCGGTAATGAACGTGCCCACCAAAAAAGATTTGTGTTCCAGCCCCAATATATTAAGAGAACGGCATAGTTTTGTTTTTAATCGAATTTTAGTGCGTCTTGCAACGTAATTCTTGGGCGATTTGGTGAACATGCACTTTCCATAAGGTGGAAGTAGGATCAAGGTTTCCTTCCACGGTGTCCCGGGTAAGCCCCCGTCTCCCAGAAGTCCTGCTTTGGAAGCTGCGCACTGGGATAGAAGCCCATGAAACCATGCACGGGTGTGTACTGACTGCAGGGGCCACTCTTCACGAACAGGGAGTGGGCGAAAGCCTTTTGCAAAGCAGCGGGGACGACCGATGTTTGATCATAGTCCTGCCAGCTCCACGCGCTACCAGCTCGATGATAGTGCGTGGCAAGGACGAGGCCCAAAAGGATATAGTTGGTGCTGCAATAGGCTTGGCGCTCTCCCGGAGAAAACTGCAAGGTTGGGCTTACGAACCTGGTCAAGATCTCAACCGGCCCGAATGCCTTAGATCGGTTGGCAAACTGGGCTGCCGAAAACGCCTCGCCATCGTAGTCTTGGATGCCTGAGGTCATGTGAAGCAGATGCTGAATCTGCACCCCGCGGATCGCACTGCCGAAATGGGCCTCCAAGTGAGTGCCATTCAGCTGCCTTGGTCGCCCAGTAATCACATCATAATATGGGCACCCTTTTTGGGGTTGGTTGCTTTATAAGGGAAACCCTAAAACCTAAACCCTAAACCCTAAACCCTAAACCCTAAACCCTAAAAAGGGAAAAAGGGTACCACTGGGCCATTCAAGCTGCAAAAGGATGGGGTCCACGTGCACGCTGATGGGGTCCGTCAAGTTCACGAGGCCCCGCTCCACCAGCTGCAGCACCGCGGGCGCCGTGATCATCTTTGTGGTGGATCCCCAAACCTTGGGTTTAGGGTTTATAGGGTTTAGGGTTTAGGGTTTAGGGTCTAGGGTCTAGGGTCTAGGGTTTAGGGTTTAGGGTTTAGGGTTTAGGGTTTAGGGTTTAGGGTTTAGGGTTTAGGGTTTAGGGTTTAGGGTTTAGGGTTTAGGGTTTAGGGTTTAGGGCGGCTCAAGCGTACTTCCCTTCCCGTTCGAAGGAGCTACTCTAACTCCTAATCCTAATCCCCCCTAAAAAACCTCCCTAAAACCCCCCAAAACCCCCTAAAAAAAACCCTAAACCACCCCGGAGCCCCCCTAAAAAACCCAGAACCTGACCGGAACCAGACTGCCGCGGTGCATACAAGTCGTCCGGATCGGCCGGCCGCGTCTTCGCACCGAGCCCCAGGCCTGCGCAGGTTTAGTGTTAGGGTTTTAAGGTTTAGGGTTTAGGGTTTAGGGTTTAGGGTTTAGGGTTTAGGGTTTAAGGTTTAGGGTTCGGGGTTGTAGGGTTTTAAGGGGGCGGGGGAGAGAGTTGAGGGCTGCAAGGGGTTTTAGGGGGTTGGGGGTCTTATTGAACTCTAAACCCTAAACCCTAAACCCTAACCTAAAGAGGCGTAGGATTCGGCTGCAAGGCCGGAGGGCGTTCGTCGCTTCGGGCTTTCGGGTTGAGGGCCTCTGCGGCTGGATCGAGAACTTACTGACACTCCTGAGCATTCAAAATTAATACTTTTATTGGTATTGTTATTGTTCTAAGTATTACTTCTATATTATTATTATCATCATTATTATTTCTATTTATTACTTTCGTGATGATTATTATTATCATTTAAACTCAGACAAGTACTATGCTGTACAGGGGACACATACGATGCTAGCACGCAAGCTGCCATGTGAGCACAGCGTAGCGCAGCAGCCCTAGGAGCAGCCCCACAGCAACCAGCGCCCCAGGCCTGCATCCGTGTAGCCAGATGCGACGCTGAAGGACAGGTTCGAGGAGTAGAAGGCTGCTGCCAGGCCCATGTCGTACTTGTCCTGCAAGGAGACTGCAACAGGTGCAGGTACCACACCCTACATCCTCGCGACCCTGAACCCTCGAAACACTAACCCTAAACCCTAAACCCGAAGCCGCTCGCAGCCAGGTCCCGCATCTGGTCGGCAACCTTTGCCTGCCCATTCGCGCGCGTGTGTGCGTTCGTGCGTGGGTGGGCGGGTGGGTGGGTGGTTGGGTGGGTGTGTGTGTGTGTGTGTGTGAACTGATTGCTGTTTAGGGTTTAGTAGCTGATCGAGGTCACCCACTCTTGCGGCAACTCTTGCGCAGGCCTCTGTGCAACATAGAGCGTTCCGGGCTGATGCAGTTTCAAGAACTCGAGGTCACCCGCCGCAATGTAAAGCCGTTTGGAGGGAATGCTCGTTTTACACGCCCTAAACTTACACCCTAAACCCAGCCCTGAGATGCTCAGGAAGAACCCTGGGTGAACTGTGCCCCCTAGACCTGTGGAGGTGCTGGGCACATGTTCGATACCATGAGGCTACAGCCGCGATCGGAACAGAAGGCAAGAGGCTTGCTGCGCACATGCGTCGCATATGCATTCGGGATCTACACTCCGCCCTTGCCCTCCCTCAGACGCGAAGACACGCATGGAAGCCTTTGCAAAATAGGTTCGAAGCATCGACCCCTCCAACCCACAAGCCCTGTAAGTCGATAAGCCCCCTCAACCCTAAACCCTAAACCCTAAGCCCCAAACCCTAAACCCTAAACCCTAAACCCTAAACCCTAAACCCTAAACCCTAAACCCTAACCCTAAACCCTAAACCCTAAACCCTAAACCCTAAACCCTAAACCCTAAACCCTAAACCCTAAACCCTAAACCCTCAACCGTCGCCAGCAGCCGGGTCACCATGGCCGCCCGAAGGCGATCCTCCAGTGGCTGCATCGGCTGCGCCGCCGCCAGGACGCCCAGCGCCAGGGCCAGGGCTGCGGAGCGAGCCATGGCTGCCGACCGAACCCGAAGAAGCTGTGAAAACACCGGTGGGCCAGTGAAGTCCCTAACCCTAAACCCGAAACCCGAAACCCGAAACCCTAAACCCTAAACCCTAAACCCTAAACCCTAAACCCTAAACCCTAAACCCTAACCCTAAACCCTACGTAGGCCCTATAAACCCTATAAACCCCAAACCCTTGTGGGCAATCTTGCAGGCCGGAGTCGTAGCCCTGGCAAAAGGAGCGCTGCTCAAGTTCGCATGTGTCCCCTGCAAGCTTGAAAGGGCCCTTGAGGGCCGAAAGACTGCCTGAGCGGAGATAGCTCAAAACGAGCAAGGCTTGCAGTGTGACCCTAAACCCTAAACCCTAAACCCTAAACCCTAAACCCTAAACCCTAAACCCTAAACCATCAACATCCTGAATGACGGGAGGGGCCTTAAGTGAGTACCAAGTTTTCAGGGCTTCGGGATATGTCCCTTCTCTTGGCTGCACTCAGGAGGGCAGCTAGGGTTTAGGGTTTAGGGTTTAGGGTTTAGGGTTTAGGGTTTAGGGTTTAGGGTTTAGGGTTTAGGGTTTAGGGTTTAGGGTTTAGGGTTTAGGGTTTAGGGTTTAGGGTTTAGGGTTTAAATTAAACTTTTAGCTGCCTTATTAAGAAACCCAATTAACCCAAAAGGGTAAGGATCTAAAGTTACAGTAAAGTACAAAGGTCTCAGCAGCGTGGTCACTCCCATGCCCAGCCAGACGCCCTGAGCCCTGAACTTGGGGGTTTAGGGTTAAGGGGCCCTTAGTGGGCCGTTTGGGTTTAGGGTTTAGGGTTTAGGGTTTAGGGTTTAGGGTTTAGGGTTTAGGGTTTAGGGTCTAGGGTCTAGGGTCTAGGGTTCAGGGTTCAGGGTGTAGAGAAAGGCCTGCAGCAGGTTCTCGTCCATGGCATTCAGCGTCACCATGGCCCAGGTAATGTTGGCCAGCGCCTGCGGAGGAGGGCTCGGAACAGATGTTTAAATCTTAGGCTTCGGCGTTTAGGGTTTAGGGTTCAGGGTTGAGGGTTTAGAGGCTTCGGGTTTTGCGACGGAACCCAAGTGCGCAAAGTGCACTGCTTTGCTTGGGGATGCGCACCCTATATCCCTTTAACCATGGACCCTGGGCCGAAAAGCATGCCAGCCAGGTGCCAAAGGGTTTAGGGTGTAGGGTTTAGGGTTTAGGGTGTAGGGTTTAGGGTTTAGGGTACACAAAACTCTACGCGGACCTGAGCGGAGGGCTTTGTTCCGCTGGCGCTGGCCTGAGCTCCAGAAAAGAAGTGAAACTGCGACCTAAGAACCAAAACCTACTCGGAGGTTCAGGGTACTTATTAACCAAGTATAACTGTACTTAGAACCCACTTAGAAGCCCTCTAAGCGCCCTAGTATGGTTGTAAGTGCAGTTATAAGTACAGTTCTATTTGGTGAATAAGTACCATGAACCTCCAAGTAGACCTTGTAGGTTACCAGGACGCCTGTGAAGACGCTGAATATAGGGGGTTGGATAATTAGAGTAGGGTTTGGGGGGGGGGGGTAATTCTAGTAAAACTCTAAAGGGACCCAAAGGGAATACTATTAGTGATTATGCCGACCCCTACATTACATACACTCGAAGACCCTATTCTAATTATTGTATTCGATGCCAGAACAGTAGCTGTTGAGTTCTTCAGAGATCCCCAGCTGCCCGCAGCGACGAGGGCAACCCTGTGCAGCATCATTATGTAAGCCCTAACCCCTACACCCCTGAACCCCTGAACCCCTGAACCCGTAAACCCTAAACCCCAAACCCCTAAACCCCTCAACCTCTGAACACCTGAACCCCCAAACCCTTAACAAAAGGTTCTTTAAGGGGATGGGCCAGTCGGACAAGAGCCCCTGGCAAGGAGAATCCTTCCGAACAGGGAAAATCTGCCGGCTGGTTATCTTGGGGTGCAGGCATATGCTTGGAAACAACTAACAAAGGTTTAGGGTTTGGGGTTTAGGGTTTAGGGTTTAGGGCCAGACATGTTTAGGGTTCAGGGTTCGAGTTTCCTGCGACCCCCAAAGCCCCAGAAAGGCACAGAACCCTTGAGGCGCGCGGCTCTGGCAAGCACTGTGTTGGCCTGATGGATGAGGGCCTGCCACAAAAGGGTTTAGGGTTTAGGGTTGGGTTTGGGGTTTGGAGTTGGGGTTTAGGGTTTGGGGTTTAGGGTTTGGGGCTTAGAGCAGTTGAGGGTCTAGGGTTTAGAGGGCTTGCCACACGAGATCCTTCTTAGGGCCATGCCTCAAGAACCCTAAGCCCTAAACTCTACTTCCTAGGTCATGATCCTAAACCTCCTTTGATCACTAAGGCTCACTAAACTCTCTAAAGCCAACCATGGAGTTTAGGGTTTAGGGTTTAGGGCTTTGGTTTCTAAAACTTCCCGTTACCCTAAACCCTAAACCCCAAACCCTAAACCCTACACCCTAGACCCTTTGTTTTGTTTTCATTTTTGCTCTCTTGGGGAGGGGGGGAGGGGGGAAAGGGTCTCGGGACTGAGATGCGGCTCCCGTTGCGAGACCGAATCTTGCTTAAGCTTGGGGGTTAGGGTTTAGGGTGTAGGGCTTAAGGCTTAGGGTTTAGGGTCTATCTGAACTAGGGAATCTTCCTGAGATTGTCATGGGCATGATTTCAGGAGATTTGAGGAGCATTCCTTGTCACGGGGATTGTCTTCCGGAAGTTACCATGGGGATCCTACACAATATTCCTTTAACGTAATTCACGGAATCCTTCACCTGACAAATGCGCCTTTGTCTTTGAAACCGTCAAAGAAGGAACACAAGGACATCCGACCGAACTCCACTCCTGCACGACGCCCTTGACCGTCATCGCGGCTTCTTGGTCTTCGTTCGTGGTCCAAAGACGCGCTATTCTGTGAAACCTCGGGCGCCAAACCCTAAACCCTAAACCCTAAACCCTCAAGAGTTGGGATGCGATTACAAGCGGATGTGGAAAGAGCCGACATACAAAACGTCGCAACAACCGTGGCAAACCGAAGCTCTCAGCTAAGCACGCAGTGGAGATGTTCACGAGGTTCATTTGAGACACATAGGCCTGGCGCAGTTCGTGCCCTTCTGGTTTCGAGAAAGGTGGCGTGAAGCAGCAGCAAAGACGTTGAAGAAGGAACCGGACGCAGCTCGACGACTGTCATTTCGCAGCCTTTTCAAGAGCGGCAATCTAGATACGCTAACCCGCCTGGATGGTCGTGGCTAGCTCCATGAGGTTGCCAGACCTCAGGACATATGGCGAAACATGCGAAACCACAAACACCCGAAGATGAGCACGAACGATAATTTCATACTCGAAGGCTACAAACCTTACTTATCCGTTTATGTTTGTACTACAAACGTCGACTTTCGAGCCACCAGAGCACCGAGTAAAGCGACGACAATGTCGCAGTTGGCGATACCCGACGACCAAAGCGAGGACAGGTTTGCATCAACCCGAACCCAGACGTCCAAAAGCGACGACAGTCGCGGGAATGGCGACGACTCTGCGCACGGCGCCTGGGCGGGAGCGCGATTTCCAGCGCCCGGAAATGCGAGACGTCCAAAGGCAACGACGATTTCGCATTTGGCGAAATCAGACGTCCGAACGCAACTTTCGCATTTCGCGAATCCAGATGTGAGAAAGCCAGGACAGTTACGAGGATGACGCTTCGATGCGTACGGCGCCTGGGGACACGATTTCCAACATCGCGAACTGCAAATCCCCTTTATAGTCTGGACACGCGCAGCAAACCCATCCAACGGGCCACAAACAGAGGATTCCACAACCCTCCCACGTTTTCAGGACGCTCAGCGATGCAAGCCACAACAAACACATGTGGCCTAGGCGGAAAGCACGGTTCCCGCGCGTAAACACCACGAAATGTGCACGGGGCCTGGGCGAGAGCGCGGTTCGACAACAACCCCACGGTCTAGGGTTTAGGGTTTAGGGTTCAGGGTTTGGGGTTAGGCTTTAGGGTTTAGGGTTTCGGGTTTAGGGCAGAAGCGTGGAATTCGCGATGTCTCGAAGCCCCAAGCAATCGGGGCCCTGAGATAAAAGTACGCCTTGGGATGTTCCCCCTTTTCCTAACAGTCCTTAACAGGGAGCATACTGGGGTACTATAATCCCTGCTAAGGACGGCTAGTAGAAGGGGGGAACATCCCAAAGTACGCATCACGTCCAAAATGCGACCGCCGCTCGGGGAATATAGTGTCCGCGTTTTGCGGGCGGCACAGGAGCAACTCAATCCCTAAACCCTAAACCCTAAACCTCTTTTTCCCTGGACGTAAGAACCCCTAGTGTTGGCACACTGCTTGGGGGGCAAGAGCTTCTGGAAAGTTACGGCAGGATGATCTAACTTTGGAAAACCAAAAAAAACCTAGGAATCCTAAACCCTATGAAGCCCGAAAGCCTAAACCCCTAACCCTTGCCAAGGACCTGAACCCTAAGCCCTAAACCCTCAAAACGTGCCGAGGCCTTGAACCCTGACCTGTAACCCTAAACCCCGAACCCCAACAACCCAACAAACACCAAAACCCAAAACCTTAAACCCTAAACCTAAACCCTAAACCTTGAACCCTAACCTTAAACCCTAAACCTTAAACCCTAACCTTAAACCCTAAACCTTAAGCCCTAAACCCTAAACCCTAAACCCTAAACCCTAAACCCTAAACCCTAAACCCTAAACCAAGGCCCCTGCTCTGACACGGAGATGATTTGGCTGTTGATCCATGGAAAAGTGTCGCGCTTGGATGCGCCCTCGCAGGGCCAAGGGCTTCCGCTTCGGGGCTTAGGGTGTAGGGTGTAGGGTGTAGGGTGTAGGGTTTAGGGTTTAGGGTTTAGGGTTTAGGGTTTAGGGTGGCTCAGGGTTTAGGAATGATACAGCTGCACTAGCGTCTTATCACCCAAAAGATCATTCGCGCGGGACCTATT